CATCTAAAAGCCCACCTCTAACTTATATTAAGAAAATTATAAAGCTGGAAAATATTCCACGTTCGGATACCGACCCACTAAATGGTCCGCAATAGGGACTTGAGCCCATATCAAAATTGGTTAGGAACCGAGGGTCTTGAGTTTTACATGTAGACCACAACTTACATGGTCGATAAAGAATTTTCTAAATGAAATCATGGTTTCCAACTTGCGTCAGATTGCAATGAGCAGAAAAATTCATATCAATGTTTAGTATTTTCATCTTTTGTTGTGAAACGTTCTTTTAACATATTCGGAAAAAAAGGATTGTTCTCCTGGTACAGAGGCAATTGGAAACCCCAATTACAAACCTATGCTTCTCAAGAAACAGTATAATCACAACCCTATCAAGATCTTTTAGGGTATTTGTCAACAACGCCAAACCGTGGAAACCCAAGACCAACTGTTTCATGTCACAGAAGTGAGGATTTGAAGCCAAAGCGTCCATCAGCAAAACCTCATCACCAAAAATCCAAAATACGCAAATCAAAACCAGCAGAAATTCGGATTTCTCGCCATCTCCATCTAGTTACAGTAGCCGCTCTGAGAACAGAACTCGAATTTCGAAAACGGTATAGACATCTGCGAATGCCAATCTACCGGTTGGTTCAAGTCGAAATTCATCTCCATCGATTGATTCTGAAACATAGGCTCTGACTGGAACTCATAAAACATGTCATTAACCATTGTCTGCAACTCCTCCAAGCTATATTTCTTCTCCTGCAAGTCAACATCATCACAACGTTAACGTGCGTCCGAAGAAACAAAGAAACGCCCTAAAGTGTAAGTACCAAAGAAAAAAAAACGTTTACCTCTCTTCTTGTTTGAGCCATGAGTGAAACCATCTCTTCAACAAAATCAAAGTATCCCTAAAAACCCCAGAACGAAAACAAATCAGCTTTCTTTGATGAAACAAATCGATTTATAAATTGAAGTTGTGAAGTTTCCATACCTCATCTTCTTCATTATCATAAAGTCCCAAATCGTACAAACTTCTTTTCCTCTGATCCGACAACACTAAAACATCATTTTTCAGACAACAATGTCAGATTCAGACAACC